CAGCCAGCCCAGCGCTGCCGCCGCCCGCATCCTCCTCCCGGGGCCGCCGCTCCCCGGGGCCGATGCTTTTATGGAGCCGCGCTCCGCCCCGGCCCGCCCCGGCCCCAGCCCGGCCCCCGCCCCAGGAGCCCCAAGGGCTGCGTCCCATGGGACGGGTGCGCAGGGGGTCCCCAGTCTCCGGTCCACAAATTGTTATAGGGAGCAACCCCAGGGTTTCCCCCCAGACAAGAGGATGGGGTGCAGGGAGGGTCCCCCAGGGGTGCTGTTCCGCTGGAGCACGGTGCTCTCCCAGAGCACAAGCCGGGGACGCGGTAGGTGGGGACACGGGGAGCAGGTGTCCCCACGGGGACAAAGCAGCCGGCGACGCGGGGCGGGCGCTGCGCCGCGCCTCCCGAGCTCCGGCACCGGCGCCGGCGATGCGTGAGAACCCCGTGCCGCGTGCAGAGCTCTGCCGGTCCCAACCTGCACCGAAGTGCTCCGGTGGAACTCGGCCAGCCCCGTGCACAGCTCCCCGGGGGTGGGCACAGCGTCTGGACCGGATGCGGCACCCCCGGGTGCTGGGCACAGCACGGCTGGGGGTGGGAGCAGGGAGCGGGGCCAAGCCCTCGGGTACCTCCGGCAAATGAGTGCGGGCTCCTGCCGGGGCTTGCACATCGCTGCCGGCTTTGGGGTCTGGCAGAGCCATCCTGGGAAGATCCCATAGGAGGAGGAAGAGGGATTAACCTCAGCGCCTGCCCCCAGTGCCGCAGACTGAGCGGGATCCCACCCGGGCAGCACTCTGCTGGTGCAGCCCCTCCTCTGTTTCCAAGGAAATCAGCACGCCCTCGGGGCCGCGGCTATCCACGGCACTGCCCACGAGCAGGCAGACAGACCTGCTTGCTCCTGGCCTTGCTTACCAGTAAGGTTTATTGAGTGAATGTGCACGGTCAGGATACAGGGGCACCAGCTGGGAGGCATGGCCCCAGCACCCCTGGAAGTGGTCAGGGATGGCTGCAGGAGCACAGGGCACACCGGGCTCCACTGGCACACGGTCCCCAGGGTGGCACAGCCAGGACACATGTCATCATCAGGCCAGCTCACAGCACAGCCACAGCAGAGGGGCACGTAGAGACGCGGCACGATGCCCCCTCTCCCCTCCCAAAGGCTCAGGCCTCGGCAGGCAGTGGGGGCACAGAGGCCAGGGCAGGTAGGAGGCGGGCGTAGATGTCAATGCCCCGCAGGAAGACATCCTCGTTGAGGAACTCATTGTGGTCGTGGAGCAGCACCGGGGTGCGGTTCATGGGCGAGAAGCCGAGGGCTGGGTACCCTGCCTGGGGATGGAGGAGCACAGTGAGCCCAGGGCGGGCAGCGGGACCACGGCTGGGCTGGGGCAGCACTCACCGCCCGGATGTAGCGGCTGTCAGTGGCAGCTGGGAAGATCTCCAGCTTGAGAGGCAGCTTCCTGTAGGGCGAGCCATGGCATCAGCGTGGCACAGGGACAGCTGGGGTGCCTGCCACCCAGACCCAGCCGAGGGCCCTAAGCCATGTACCCTACAGGATGCTAAATCCTATTCTTTCTGACACAATGGAGTACGGTGAGGTGCTAACATGGCTCAGGGCTCCTCTCCTACACTGCCGTGTCCCCAGGGTACACGAGGACCAGGGGGCGCAACCTAGGTGCCACCATCCCACAGCACTACTCACATGTCCCTGCAGACCCCGCTGAAAGCTTTCCACCACGGGTCAGACTCCTCAGTGGAGGTGATTTGCTGGTCCATGCATTTCTGAGCGATGGAGGCAGCAGGTGGGCACCCTGCAGGGGAGGGGCAGCACAGCCTGCTGACCCCCCCCCACAGCCTCTCACCTGGTGAAACTCATATGTGACACCGTCCCCAGCTGCCCGGCACCACGCAGCCACCTGCTCCTCAAAGGCCTGCGGCAGGTGGCACAAACGGGTGTGAGCAGGGGCACCCCCAGCCCTCTCCCCCCACATGGGACCGGCACCCACACTCACCTTCAGGTCCACGGTGGGTGGGATGCGGATGTCAAAGCCGACGGCCATCTCAGACGGCACCACGTTGAAGGAGACTCCCCCCTCCAGCAAGGTCAGGTTGAGCGAGGTGACATCCCCCAAGGTCAGGCTTGTGTTGGACTTAAGCCTTGGGGGATGCAGGGGACAGTCACCCTCTGTCCCAAGAAGAGGAGGGGAAATGCTCCCTGCCCCCACCTCCATGCAGGTAAACAGAAGCATGGAGATGCAGTGCCGGATCAGAGCCTCGCTTTGGACCTCCTGGATGCCAAAGGGGGGCAAAGCCCCTCCAAGGACCACAGTGAGGCCAACGCAGCCCCTCCAGCCATATCCTACCTCTGCTTCTCACTCTCCCTGAAGGCCAGGAAGGAGGCGATCACTTTGTGCTGGGGAGGCAAACATATGATGTAAACATCCCAGAACCACCTGGTCAGGGCTTACCATATAGCCCCTCCCCATGCCCCCCATCAGCAGCTCCCAGCCACAAGCCCGGTGCCCACCGCAGAGGGCTCCCACCCCAGGCCCCCACAGGGCACACCACTGTCCCCTTACCAACTTCTCGGCCGCGGTGTTCGTGATGAAGCGGGACCCATGCCCAGGGCTGCCTGTGCACTTCACCTTGATCCCTGAGGAAGAGGCGCTGAGCTGGGTGCACCCAGCACCCCAGAACCCAGCAGAGCAAGGGACAGGATGGCAGGCACACCATTACTCACACCAAGGGCTCTTCTCGCCATAGAAGACACTGTAGGTGTCGGATGGGCTGGCCAAGCCTGTGGTGGGCACAGCAAGGGGAACAGATGTGTCCCAACTGGTGCACTGCGGGGTCAGGGGCTGGGATGCCTAAGGGGACCCCAGGAGCTGTGCTGAGCACCCCTGCCTTGGGGGCAATGCCTAATGTGCACGATGCCATGAGGTCCCGCTGGCTCCCAGCACAGCCATGCCATCACTCACCTTCATCTAGGGCAAAGCCCACGTTGAGTGCTTTGAACTCTGGGCGCTGCAAGAACATAACCATGCCCTTGTGTCCGCCCACCTCCTCGTCTGTGGGGAGAAAACTGGCATGGGTGAAGGGATCCTCCACCCAAACACTGTGCTTCCATGTTAGCCTGGTGCCATTGGCCATCCCCAGAACCACACAGCCCTTCATCCTAGAGCTAGTGGAACCCAAAACCTGGACAGGTTAGCAGAGGTGTCCCATGCCCAGGATGCAGGGAGCCACACAGCGTCACCCAGCCCACCCTGTTCCTCAGGAGGGCACTCACCAGGCACAAAACTCAGGTGGATGGTGCGGGCAAAGCTCTTCCCTTCTGCCTTCAGCCTTCGGATGGCCTCAAGGTACCTGCAGGTGATGTGAGGAGATGGTTTGAAAGTGCTGGGTGCAGGGAGCGGGGCTGACACCCCTGAGCTGCCATGTGCACCAAGCCCCCACTCACTGGATGGAGACACACTTCATGTCCTGGGCACCCCGGGCATAGATGTTGCCCTGGGAATCCTTAACAGCTTCGAAGGGTGGGTAGGTCCAATGCTCCTGTGGGAAAATGAGTTGTGACCCCATATCACGAGGCTACCCCTGTGCCCAGCCCCTCCGACCCCGTACCTCGAAAACTGGCACAACGTCGGTGTGGGAGTTGAGCAGGATGGAGCGCAGGCGGGGATTTGTGCCTGGCCAGGTGAGGACCAGCACCACACGGCCCTGGCACACCTGTGAGCAAAGGCTGCATGTCACTGGGGTGGGACAGGGGGACGCAGCGGTTGGGCAGGCTCATTCCCCCACCGCAGCCACTTGGCAGCCACAAGCAATTCAGAGGAAGTAAAACCCTAAGGCCTGGGTGTCCCCTGTGCCAGCCACTGTTCCTTCCTGGACAGACACAGGGGACATCTGCAGCCAGCGTCACCCTGCCTGGTCCCTGGCTAATCATAGCACAGCCAGCCACAAAGGTCAGAGGGACAGGCAGGATCAGCAGAGCATTAGGGCAGCAGCAGGCACCTCCTGCCACCCGTGGGCTGGTGGGGAGAGGACCTGACCCCCAGCAATGGTGTGGGACCAGCCCTGGGGCTGCCCTGCTCACCTCCACTTTCTGGCACGCCAAGCCCAAGTCGGTGCCCACACGCTCCAAAAACTGGACTGCTGCATCTGGGGGTGAGAAAAGATGGATGATGGGGTGAATCCATGGCAAACCAAGGGTGGCCTTGCCCGAAGCACGGTGGGGATAAGGCACTGCAGTCTTCCTTGCGCTGGGACTGCAACAGCCCGGGCCTCGAGCATCAGGCACGTGGGTCCAAAGAACAATCCAAAGAGCAGCGCAGGGGAAGGAGCCATGCTGCCAGGCTCGAGCCCTGGGTGCCCCCCCACCACATCCCTGCTCTCCTCACCGTAGTCAGGCTTGGGGTGCACGGTGTCGATCCTCAGGTACTCTCGGAAAAGTGTTACCGAAGGGTTCTCCGAGGCCCCCGCGCTCTTCCCTTGCTTGCCGGGTGCCATTCCCGGACTGCAGAGCCGCGGGGGAAGAGACAGTTAAACCCCTCCTTCCGTCCCCCGCTCCTCCGAAGCAGGACGGGGCAAAGTTCGGCCCTTGAGAGGAACGGGGCTGAGGTGGGGGTGGAGGGGCCGTGGGGTCGGCGGGGGCTGCGGGAGGGTGGCGGGGGGTGCGCGCACACGCGGCGTTCAGTGGGGCGCAGGAGCCAGGAAAACACCGCGGGTTTGTGGGGCGGAGGGCACGAGGAGCTCAGAGGATCGCACGGTGCCACGCTTGCGGTGCGGGGAACCGGGGGACCGAGGGTGTGCGGCCCCATAACTGGGGTGCAGGCAAGGAGTTGTAGGTTCGGGGCTGCCCCCCGCCCGACGCCGCCCGTTCCCGGCCCCGAACCCCCGCTGCCCCCGGCCCTACCTCCGCACCGCCGTCGCTGCCGGCCCGCTCCCGCTCCGCCCCCCCGGCCCCGCTCCGCCCCGCTCCATCCCGCTCCGCCCCGAGGCGCCTGGGGACACGGCAGAGACCGGAGCGCGACGTGTTTATTGGCCTCGGGACAGGCGGCTCGCAGATCCTTCCTTCCAGCTCGCGGCCCCCCTCCCCTGCCAGCATCGCAGCACCGTGCCCAGAGCCCTGGCACCAGGGTTGCCCTGCCAGAACATCATTCTGAAATTCAGAGAAGGTACCAGGGGGCCGTGGGTGGGCACAGAACAGCCCTCTCTCCCCCAAGGCAGTAGGCACAGCCCCAAGCTGCTGCTCAGACAGCGTTTGGACATCACTCTGTGTTTTTGTGTGGTTCTGTGTGGAGCCAGCACCTCTTCCAACTTGGGATATTCCATGATGCCACAGTTCGATGAGCATGGAACCTCTGCTCCCAACCACAAGAGGGAGCGGCGATGCTGCAGGAGGGCACTGCTGGCGATTCACCCCCAGCCCCACACCACCTCCCCACCTCCCAGTGAGGCACAGAGACAAAGCCAAAGCCCCACTGCCCTCTGCTCAGTGCAGCAGCACCCAGATCATTTCAGCTGGCCCAGGAAGCCCAGCAGGGCCCGGTGGAAGTCCTCCGGCTTGTCCATGTAGCAGGCATGGCCAGCACCAGGCAGCACAACCACGCGGTGCTTGGGGAGATGCCGGAGGCTCTGCAGGGCCTGCTGGCCCAGGCCGGTGTCACGCTCACCATACAGGATCAGGGTGGGCGTCTGAAAAAGAGGAGAGAAAGGATATCGGAGAGGTGGGATGTCAACCCCAGCCCGATCAGCACCTCTGTAAAGCAGCAGGAGAGCTGGGAGCACAGCACCCGGCACCCTGCTGGCCTCACCTGGACCTGCTGGTACTGCACGGCGCTGTATTCCCGCGTGCCCACGGGTGCGATGGGCACAAAGCCGGCCAGCTGCTCGCCATGTGCCAGGAGGAAGGGCAGGGCAAAGCGGCCGCTCATGGACGGGCTGACGAGGACCGGTCTCTGCAGGCCCAGCTGCCGCACGACACGCTGCAGGAAGGCTGCCCGACCCCGCTGCGTGGCCACCGAGCCTGCGGCGGGTGAATCCCCATAGCCTGGGGGGGGACACAGAGGATGCAGGGCTGGGGTTCAGCAGGAGAGCACCGCGAGCCCTTTGGGTGCCGGCTTGGAGGGCCCGCAGCCCGTGTCGCCCCCGGCACTCTCGGTCCTACCGGGCAGATCGATGGCGACGGCGCGGTGTCCTTCGGCGGCGAGCAGCGCCAGCGTGCCCAGGGCCTGCCACGTGCCAGAAGTGAAAGCCTGGCCGTGCAGCAGCAGCACGTCGGGCCTGCGGGGGGACACGAGGGCTCGGCACGGCGCGGGGCCGCGAGCCGCCCGCTGCGGGACAGCGACAGCGCGGCGGGACGCGGGGAGCCGCGGGCAGACCCACCTGCTGGATGCCGGGAATCGCGGCGCGGCGGCCTCCCTATAGGCGACGGCGGGGTCACCCGGCGTCACTCCCGCCCGCACCGTGGCGTTGGCCGGGAGTCGGGCCGGGCCGTGGCGGCGGGCGGCGGGCAGCAGCAGGAGCGGGACACAGACCAGCACGGCGCCCAGGGCCAGCAGCGCCGGGCGGCCGCGGGGCATGGCGGACGGCGGGACGTGCGAGGGTCGGATTGCCGCCCCGCGGAGCGCCCGCGCGAACCCGGGGCCCGACCTCGTTCGGCCGCGCTCGGCTCGGCGTGGCTCGGGAAGGCTCGGCGGCGCTCGGCAGGGTTCGGCTCCGCTCGGCAGCGCTCGGATCGGCTTCCTTTTGATCGCCGTGAAAACAGGCGTTCGTCACACGATCCTCACTTCCCACACGAGCAGAAAGCATCCCCGTCCCCGAAATCAACACCACGGCCTTTCGGCGGAGTTGAGGGGACGCTCCGCCCCTCGTCCCCCTGCATACGACAAAAGCTCGCAGGGCTCGGATAGGGCTCGGGTTGGGGCTCGGGGGGTTCGGGGGGCTCGGGTAGCATTCGGCAGAGCTCGGGTAGTTCTGGGATGCGCTCGGCTCGGCAGGACTAGAGTGGACCTCTGCAGAGCTCGGCAGAACTCGGAAAGTGCTCGGAAGGACTCGGCTCGGTTAGGGCTCGGGCAGGGCTGGGCACGGCTCGGCAGAACTCGGCTCGGCTCGGCAGGGCTCGGCTCAGCTCGCGCAAGGCTCGGCAAGCCTCGGTTCCACCCGCCCGCTCTCGGCCGTGCCCGCCAGGCGGCGCCCCCGCTCCCTCCGCCCCCTGCGGCCTTCGGACCCGGGCGGTGCCCCGAGGCCCGGACAGGTCTCGGAGCGGTACCGAGCCATGGCCGGCGCGCGGCTCACCGAGGGCACCGTGACGGTGGAGGGGCAGAGCCTCTTCTACCGGGAGGCCCACCCGCAGCGGGCCCCGCGGCTGAACGTGCTGCTGCTGCACGGCATCCGCTTCTCCTCGGACACCTGGCTGCAGCTGCACACGATGGCCGTGCTGGCTGACGCCGGCTACCGGGCCGTGGCCGTCGACCTGCCGGGTAAGGCACGGCCGAGGGCACGTGGCGACGGCGCGGTGGCAGCCGTGTGACACGCAGCCCCTCGCTCCCAGGGCTGGGCCGCTCCAAGGACGCCGTGGCCCCCGCTCCGGTGGGGCAGCCGGCACCGGGAGCCTTCCTGAAGGCGGTGGTGGAGGCGCTGGGCCTGGCCCCGGCCGTGCTGGTCAGCCCGTCGCTCAGCGGCATGTACTCGCTGCCCTTCCTCTTCCAGCACGGGCACCTGCTGAAGGCCTACGTGCCCGTGGCGCCCATCTGCACAGAGAAGTTTGAGGCGCAGCAGTACGCCGGTGTCCAGGTAACGGGGTTGGGCATGGAGCATCTTCCCTTCCTCACCCCCGTCTCTCCTCTGGGAGATGGGGAAAGGGTAGGAGAGGTGCTCCTGCTGGAGGTGTAATGCTGCCCTGGGCCAGCGTTGCGAGCTGCAGCAATGCGAGCGTGGCCTGTGTACCTCTCCGCAGACGCCCACCCTGATTGTCTATGGGGACCAGGACGTCGAGCTGGGCCAGGTCAGCCTCAGCAACTTGCGACACTTGGCCCGCCACCAGGTGCTGGTGCTGCAGGGCGCCGGGCATGCCTGCTACCTGGACAAGCCCGAGGAGTGGCACCGTGGACTGCTGGCCTTCCTGCAGCAGTTGGAGTGAGTGGGATGGGGAGAGCCACCCTTGGCACCACCGCTTCGTCGGGACCAAATAAAACCCTGAGATGTGCTGCCGCCCTGCTGCTTTGTTTCCTCCTCATCATGGCACGTGCAGCGGGGGACGGCCACCCTCCTCCTGGCCTCATCCCCATCCTCTTCTCTCCTGCTTTGTTCCCTCCTCACTGTCTCGCACGCATTGGTTGACGGCGGCCCTCCTCCTGGCCTCATCCTCATCCTCTTCTTCCTCTTCCCACCCCTCCGGCCGCACACCCACTCCTAGGTTAATCCACAGGGGCTTAAAAGGTGACTGTCATCCTCAGCCGTCCCCTGCCTGTGATGGCAGCCAGCATGTCCCAAGCACCCGGCGGATTTATGGTCACCAACAGATGGGGGGGGAAAGGCAGGGGAGGCCAGACAGACGCCTGGCTGGACAGACAGAGTGCCGCTCAGTGCCCACCACCTGCCTTTCCCCACTTGGTGCTGCTGAGCCAACCCTGGGGATGCAGATGGAGCCGGCAGCGGGGTGCTACCCCCCTCCCCGCTCCCCCTCCAAGCCTGCCTGGGCTTTAGCTGCTTACGCCAGGGCCTATGAGGATTTAGCGGGGGAGGCACGCAGGCGGCGGGGGGGTGACACTGGCAACGTGTCGGTGTGTGATGGGGGGCACGGAGCGGGGTAGGGGCCTGCTGGCACAGGGTGCTCAGCGCTTTGCAGCATCCATCTGCTGCTCCGGCACCGCAGCCCTAAGGGTGCCCACCCCCAACAGCACCCCTGGGTGCCGCCGTCCCAGCGTTGCCCGCCCAGTGCCCTTGAGCCCTTGAGCCCTGCCAGCTGATCGGCTTCCAGGAACAACAACAAAAAAAAAAGCAATTACAAAGAGGGGTGATGTGCGAGCCAAGTGTGGGGGGGGACAGGAATGTCCCCAGCGGTGGCAGATGGCCTTACCCAGGGTGCATTGTTCCTTTTAGTGTCTCTTATCCGCTGTAATAGGATCCCGGAGGGAGGGCTGTGGGAGAGGGGAAGAGCGAGGGGGGCCCCAGCGGGCCGGGGTGGGGGCCGGGGCTGCCAGCCTGCCCCGCGCCCGTCAAGCGGCTCATTGTTCGCGGCCCGGGTGGCACGGGGCGGCCCCGGCGGCATGCGGCACTGAGCGGCGGCGGTGCGGAGAGGTACCGGGCTGCGAGCGGGGCGGGGGGAGCGGAGAAACTTTCCTTCTGGGCGATGGGGGGTGGTCGCGCTGTCCCCTCACCACCTCCCGCTGCCGCCCGGCACCCGGCCCTTGTCCCCACGCCCCCCCGGCGGCAGACGGCGCCGTGCTTTCCTCCTCCCCGCACCCCCCTCGCCATCGGCTCTCGTGCCCCCGCTTTTGTCCCCGCCGGGTCACCCGTGGGGGCTCGGGGGCTGCTGGCGCTGCCGCCGCCCCACCCCGCTCCCCTGATGGCCACCTCGGCGGCGAGCCCTGCCAGCACCCAGAATAGCCGTGCCCCCTCCCCCCGACAGCGCCCGCAGACCGGGCCCCATCCCCACCGCGGGTGCTTTGTTCCAAAGCCGCTTGGCATCGCCGCCGGCATCCCGCCCACCTGCTCCCGGACACGCGGCGATTGTCCCCTGCTGTCCCCTCCCCGGCCGCCTCCGAGCATGAGGTGCTGCTGGGTGCCTCCCCCCTTCCCCTAGGCATTCCCCAGCCGGGGGTCCGGCCACCCCCAGCCCAGGGGTCGGGACACCTGGCCGTACCCCGCAGGAAACCCCATGTCCCCCAGGCCATGGCATCGCCGGACAGAGCGAGCGGCCCCAGAGAGCCGCAGCTCAGCATCACCCTGACCCTCCGCATGCTGATGCACGGCAAGGTAACCTGCCCTGGGGATGGGGGAGTGGTTCCGGGGAGGATTTCGTGCCCCTCACCCTAAGGCTGGGCTGTCCTCACCCCTGGGGACACATGGTTGGTGATACTGGGATCGTCTGCTAACAGAGCTGCCCTCTGCTCCCACAGGAGATCGGCAGCATCATCGGCAAGGTAAGAGCCGGGGGATTTGGGCTGTGCCACCCCGGGGGGGCTCCTGGCCCTGACCGCCAGCCCTGTTCCTCTTCCCACAGAAAGGAGAGACAGTAAAGAGGATACGGGAGCAGGTAAGGGCACGTGGGGCGGTTGTGGGTCCCCTGCTGTCCCCTCCCCGGCCGCCTGTCCTGGTGCTTTTAGGTGGCTCACGGCTCTGGGTGGGATGGGGCAAGGACCGCAGGGAGGGGGTGACACAGAGCTGAAGCAGTGCTGAGCTCTGTGCCCCTGACGGGACGCACCGCCGTCCCCAGAGCAGCGCGCGCATCACCATCTCGGAGGGCTCCTGCCCCGAGCGCATCACCACCATCACCGGCTCCACCGACGCCGTCTTCCGCGCCGTCTCCATGATAGCCTTCAAGCTGGAGGAGGTGAGTGCTCCCTGCCCTATAATGGGACTCTGGGAGCCCCCCACTCCCAGGGGAAGCCAGACATTGTATGTGTGTCCCTCCGCAGGACCTGGGGGATGGGACGGCGGCAGGAAGGACACCGGTGACGCTGCGTCTTGTCATCCCAGCCAGCCAGTGCGGCTCGCTCATCGGCAAGGCGGGCACCAAGATCAGGGAGATCCGGGAGGTGAGATCCCCCGGTACGGTGCAGGAGCACAGTGTCCCCCCGCCGTTCCCAGCCAAGTCCCACAGCCCCCCCATTTTCTCCCCAGAGCTCAGGGGCTCAGGTGCAGGTGGCTGGCGACCTGCTGCCCAACTCCACAGAGCGCGCCGTCACCGTCTCGGGGGTGCCGGACACCATCATCCAGTGTGTGAGGCAGATCTGTGCCGTCATCCTGGAGGTACTGGCAGCTGGCTCACGGTGCTGTGGGAGGTGTGGTGTGGGCTGGGGGGACCTTGACCCCATTGCTCATCCCCTCCACCTCCTTTCCTCCCTGTGCAGTCGCCTCCTAAGGGGGCCACCATCCCCTACCACCCTGGGCTCTCCCTGGGTACCATTCTGCTCTCTGCCAACCAGGTAAGGGGCACTGGGGCAGGGGGACCCCCTGTCTGCATGGGCACAGGTCCCTGCGTGGTTCCCAGCTGATGCCCATTGCCCCCCCAGGGTTTCTCCATGCAGGGGCAATACAGCGGGGTCTCTCCGGCAGAAGTGAGTCTCTCCCAGCCCTGCTCCTTGGTTCATGGGACCAATCCTGGGGGTGTCACCATGGGCACGGGGTCTGGCAGCCTGCAGCTGGGGTGGGGTGCAGTGGGATGGGATGTGGTATGATGGGAAGTTGTGGGATGGGGTGGGAGGGGTAGGACGCAGGGGGATGGGATGACATGGGGTGGGGTGGAATGGAGTGGGATGGGGTGGGGTGGAATGGAGTGGGATGGGGTGGGATGGAATGGTATGGGATGAGGTAGAATGGGATAAGATGGAGTACACAGAGGGGGTGGGGTACGATGGAAGGGGGAGGGATGGAATGGAATGAGGTGGGATATGGTGGAACAGGGTGGGATGGGGTGCAGTGAGGTATGATGGGAAGAGGGTAGGGTGGGATAGAATGAAATGGGATGGAATGGGATACTGTGGAATGGAATGGAGTGGGGTAGGATGGAATGGGTTAGAATGAGGTGGAATGGGATGAGATGGAATGGGGTTTAATGTAATGAAGTAAGATTTGATGGGATAGGATGGGGTACAGTGGGAGTGGAAATAGATGGGATGTAGGGGAATGGGATGGGATGCAGTATAATGAGATAGGGTGGGGTGGAATGGGATGGGATGCGGTGTGATGAGATGGGTTAGAGTGGGATGTGTTGAGGTGGGGTGGGATGTGCACTGTGTGGATGCCAGAGTCCAGCCAGGAGCGTGAGACCATGCCATCAAACCTGCCTTCCTACTGTCTGCATCTCCTCTCCCTCCCTGGACAGGTCACAAAACTGCAGCAAATGTCGGGGCACACCATCCCCTTCCCACCACTGGGCCACCCGCCCTCCATGGTTCCAGGTGAGCTCCCCGTGGAGCTAGAGACAGTGAGTTGTGCCCTTCTTGTTCCGTGCTGGGCGCTTGCAAGAGCATGGGAGTCCATGTCCTCTCCTCCCATCTCCAGTCCCATCTCCTTGGTGCGCCATCCCACACCAGAAAGTCCCTGTCTTTGGTCTCCCGGTGTCCCAGTGCCCCCAAGCCCTCCACCCCAATGACAGGAGCTCCAGTGCCCACATCCCATCTTCCCTATGGCCTTTCCTTGTTGGTCCTTTGGGTTTGTCTTCACAGCAACGTCCCCCCACATTTGGAGGGCACAGGGCTGCTGGAGACCCCCCTAACTCCATCATTTCTCCCTCCAGGGCTGGACTCAAACTCCCAAAGCAGCTCTCAGGAGTTCCTGGTGCCCAATGATGTAAGTGTGGGTCCTCACAAAGTCCCCATTTCCCCATACGTGTCCTGCACCTCTCACCTTGGTGCTCCCCCCCCAGCTGATCGGCTGCATCATCGGCCGGCACGGCAGCAAGATCAGTGAGATCCGGCAGATGTCGGGCGCCCACATCAAGATTGGGAACCAGACCGAGGGCTCCAGTGAGCGGCACATCACCATCACGGGGTCCCCCGTCAGCATCACGCTGGCTCAGTACCTCATCACCACCTGGTAAGCGCCCCAAAGAGCTGGGGCTGGATGCTGGCACCGGTGACAGAAGGCACGGGGCGAAGGTCCGTGTGCCCTACAGCGGGCAGGTGGCCCCTTTGTCACCGTGCCCCTCACCATGCTGCTTGACTCCCCCAGCTTAGAGACGGCCAAATCTACCTCCCAGGTGCCACTCGGCCCTGGCTCCGTGGATCTCGGTGTGGGCTTCTCGCAGCCGCTCGCTCCGGGCTCCAGCGCAGCACTGCCTGCTGTCCCTGCCACCCCCCCGGCTCTGCTGGGCACCCCCTATGCCCTCTCTCTCTCCAACTTCATCGGCCTGAAGCCGCTCTCCTTCCTGGCGCTGTCCCCATCCTCTGCGGCAGGTGCCAATGGTGGCACTGCCACCTACACGACCAAGATCTCGGCGGCCAACGGCACCAAGAAAGCTGATCGGCAGAAGTTCTCGCCCTACTGAACCCCTCTGTGGGTGAACAAGGGAGGTCCTGGTGCCACCTGGTGCCAAGGACACCCCTTGTCCTCCATCCCTCCCCCAGTCGTCCCCCCAGCATCCCATGCCGAGGGGAGGGGGGCCCAGAAGTGATGGCCTCTGGAGCAAAAAGAGTTGCTCCAATGCCCATCCTGGCAGCACTGTGTCCCCTCTCCCCCCCAGACTTGCTATGGTATGGGTAGGAGGGCTGTCCCTGCTGGGGGGGGGGGACATCCTCCAACTCCCTGGTGTCCTTTGTCCCTACCTTTATCCACACTGCTGTCCCTCTCCTGCCATCCCCAACCCTCTGGGCTGAACCCCAGAGCTGCTGAGGGGCTGCCTGGCCTCTATGGTGTTCCCCCATCCCCTGGCTGTGTCAGGGGGACTTTCCCCTGGGCAGTCACCTCCCTCCCAGCAACCCCCAAGAGCCTGCTGGCTTGGAAATGCTGTATATATAAGTCTATATTTTTCCTCCTTTGTAACTTATCAATGGTTTAATAAAAAGATCAAATTTATGTGAAAAAGATACATTTTCCACCTCCCGAGTGGAGACTCCCCCAGCTCAGGGAAGTGCATGAGGTGACAGCAGAGGGGTGGCCCTGTGGCCAGTGATCTTCCCTGAGCCCCCTCCCTGCCCCGTGCACCTTTCCCCAGCCCCTATTGCTGGAGTAGGGTTTCCTGTTTTTGGAGACTGGGGGCACAGCATCCCCCCCAGCAGCATCCTGACTTTCAGGAGGGGAGGTTACTGGGCACCATGGGCACTGGTGTTATGGTGTTAGTGGTGTTATCTGAGCTGGGGAGGGTGCAGGGTGACCCTGGCAGAAGTTCCACAGGGGAATGGTCCCCCAAGCTGTAGCTCCTCAGCTTCCTATGTCCCATGTGCTGCAGGAGCCAGGGATGTTCCCAGCATGCAGAATGGAAATGACAGCACCCGAAATGCGGCCAAGAGCCCTTCCTCCAGCATGCAGACTGGGACAGCAGGCAAAACGTGGACCAGGAGCAAAAAGGATGGTTCCCAGAGCTACAGTGGCACGGAGCTCTGCTCTTGGACGCTCTCTTCGGGAACCTGGCCTGGGATGGGGCAGCCCCCCTTGTCCTGCTCCAGCTTGTTCCTGGGGCTGATGCACCCAGCATGGGTTTCCAGCGTGCAGGTAGCCCTCTGGAGGAACTGCAGGACGTTTTCCTGGACAGAGGCCTCAGAAATGGCCAAGCACAGCTCTTGGCCCAGCGGACGGTGGAGGAGACTGCGCCAGAGCCGGGCCAGCTCCTGGCGGATCTGTCGGTTAAGCAGCCCATAGAAGAAGGGGTTGATGGCGAAGGAGGAGTAGGCAATCCAGGTGACCACCATCTCGCTGTGCCCACCTCCCTCCGCAGCGGCACCCACAGAGGAGTGCAGGTGGAAGGCAAAGAAGGGCAGCCAGCAGCACAGGAACTGTCCCACGATGAGCAGCAAGGTGAGGATGGCCTTGTTCCCTCCCAAAAAGCGTTCAGGTGCCAGCCGGGGCAGCGGCAGGTTCCGCATGGTGACGATGGTCAGTTGGCTGGCAATGGAGTCACAACGGGGCCGTGGGGCAGCCGCCGGGGCAGGTGTGTGCTGTAGGGCTGCCAGCCGGGCCACCCGGTAGACACTGCAGTAGACGGCAAAGATGATAATGGTGGGCAGGATGAAGCAGGTGATGCTAAAGATGATGACAAAAGCCTTCTTGTGGGCCCCAGGGCTCCAATAGACCGTACAGCGGCTGGCGCTGGTGGCCCCGTTGTCTTGAGGCCAGCCCACCAGTGCCAGGATGGTGATGAGGACAGACTTGACCCAAATGAGGATAACCCCGGCCACAGCCAGCCTGATGGTCATCTTGACCTCGTAGCGCAGGGGGTGGACGATGTAGTAGTACCGCTCAACACTGATGATGGAGACGGTGAGGATGGAGGCGCTGATGAAACAGACGTTAAGGAATATCAAGGCCTGGCACTCAGCGATGCTGTAGATGACCCTGTCGAAGCAGGAGGAGCTGGAGATGATCCCCAGAGGCATGAGGAAGATGGCAGAGAGGAGGTCAACCACGCAGAGGTGGCAGACAAAGATGAACTTGCGGACGAGGGGTGTCTTCAGGATGACCACCATCACCACCACATTGGCCACTAGGGCAGTGATAGTGAGCAGGACCATGCAGAGGAGGCCCAGCACCTCCTGTGCTGTGGACTGCTCTGGAATGGTGGGGTACTCCAGGCTGGCTGTGGCATTCAGCCCCATCTGGCTAGCCATACCCACAGGAACTAAGCCAGCAGCTCTGCTGCCGGTATCACACGGACAGAATTCCTGCATCCCATGGAGGGAGAGCCCACCGTGGGCATGGCCGCTGTCTTCTCATGGCCCCTTACCTGCTGGGGAAGGAGAAGATAAAGGAGCAAAACCAGAGCCACAGAGAAACCCAGAGGTGGTCTCCAAAATATTGCGGAGAGATGGCAGGGCAGGGATGACACAGGGGGACCTGCTGGCACCCCAGGCAGCCCGACACCCCATCCCCTGTTCCACAGAGGGACAAAGCCAACCCCACCCACACCATCCCTGCAGCCCCTGCTCCGGGTCTCCCTCCTCACTGCTGGGGGTCACCAAGCAGTGGGGTGGCACCAACATACCTTGGCTTCTTGGGGACGGGCAACGCTTCCTTCCCTGGGACCGGTCCTTGTCACCAGCACTGCTCATGCTGCAGGAGTGGGGTTCCCGGGGCCACATCCACCCCTCCCTGGCTGTCACCCATTAGTCATCCTGTTTGCCTGTCGCCGATGGCACCGGCTGTCACCCCCGGGCTCTCCCCGCCCACTGACAGTGCTGGGGACAGCTGCTGGGTCCTAGCAGCTGGCGGGCGACAGGGCAGGGAAGACCAAGGGTCTGCAGCCAAAAGGGCCCTTCCCACACTGAAACATACTGCAAAGTGTAGGGGGCTGGTGCTGCGAGACTGGGGAGTGCAGGGTGTCCCTGAGGCAGTCCCCAGTAGAGCATCAGGGTGGCACAGCCAAGTGTCATTGCACAGACACTGACTTGTGCCTGGGGGGATGCAGGGGACAGAGTGGGGCTTGGCATGGTACCAATGGAGGGCAGGCACTGGGGACACAGGGACAGGCTCATCCATGCTCATCCCTTCATATAGCCCTTATGCCGCAGTGGTGAGCACAAGTCTGGCTACAGTTATGAGATCTGCAGCCCACACAGAGTCACCCACAACAGGGGTAACCCCCGGCCATAGCACCAACCAGGACTCCCTGGTCAGCCCCTCCGTGCTGGCAGGAAAGCAGCCACACTGCTGATGCAAGGCACGTTGAATTTATTGCTCATGGGAGCAGGCTGGATGCTCCCATGTCCTCACACCTAAGTGAGTGGCCACAAGGGCTGGATTCCTGCGCTCCATGCTGGCAGCACTCTGCTGCCAAGAGGGGACACAAGGAGCCTGGTGCTCTCAGAAGTGGAGCTGGACGAGATAGCGGATCCTGCACTGGCTCTCCTGGTAGATGAGGTACTCGCTTTGGAAGAAGGACGAGTCCTTGTAGGCGGGCACGGGGATCGGCTTGCCTTGGCACACCAGCACCTTCTTCCCATCCAGCATCACCTCCACATCCTGTGCAGGGTCTGGACAAGAAGACTCCACTAGTGCCAGCCCTGAGGGCCATCCCAAGGCCCCCAGTCCCACCACTCACCTGGCTCCATGCGACCACAGGCCAGGACGCTGTCATAGCCATCGGGCGGCTGCTGCAGCGTAGGCTCGTCGCGGGTGATGCAGTACTGTTTGCCCAGAGCCACCTCCGTCAGGAACATGAAGCCAACTCGCGTGGATGTGCAGCCCACTGACACCAGGAAGGGAAATGAAGGGGAAGGAGTGATGGCACCAGAGTTGCCACTCATTTGTGCGTGAGTCCCTAGCATGGAAGGGGCTTGGCAGAGGTGCCACAAAGAGCTAGGCTTGCACCGACCCCACAGACACCCCAAACAGCCTGCTGTTCACCGTAGCCAGCAGACTTGCTGTTCTCAGAGGCAAAGTAGATGCCCTTGCCCACGCATCCCCCCCGAGTGGGGCATGATGCGCAGCCCATTCCTCAGGATGGCTGCGACCACTGCCACGTTGGTGCCCTGCCACAGCAGGCGCCGGTGCTCCAGGTGGTCATGGGCCTGGAAGAGCTTGTCCTGGAGAGACACAGAGCAGAGGGCTGGCCAGGGAGGGGCACGCAGCATTGGCCCAACTCCCCTGCCCAGCCAGCCGGCGTTCCCGCTCTGCTGTATGTAAGTGGTCCTGGACCTGCAGACAAAGCCCAGTCCAGAGGGCACAGCTGGGTTCTCCTCAGGCTCCTTATTCTCACCTCACCCTCTCGGGCCACCTTCCAGACGTTGAGGATGTAGACCTGGCCCCCTGTCTGTGCCACATAGTTCAGGATCATCTGCAAGGAAGGACACGGTGTCACTGCTGGCTGCCCATAACCGTATCCCCAGAGTGTCTGCATGGCACTGGGGACCGTCACACCTCATACTCTTGGGAGGTGTGCTCCAGCAGGGTGAGCTGGCAGCACAGCAGGGTGTAGTCCCGGTCCAAGGGGTGGGTGACCACCTCCTCCTCCTCCTCCACCTTCTGTGCCTGCAGACTCTGTGCCACCTCGATGTCAGCCAGCACCTGGAGGGGACAGAGCAGGGACACAGTCATTGTGGGCCAGGACAAGGCTCCCACTACCTCTCCACCCCACAGGGACAGATGCCACTGCCACATCTCACCAGCAGCATGTCTTTCTTGGCACGCAGCAGCTCGGGGGAATCAATGGGGGGTGGCCGTGCCCGCCCAAAGTTGTGGGGCACAATGGTGTAGAAGCGTGAGGAGAGCTCCTCCAGCCGGGACATCCTGCAGGGTTGCTCCCTCAGTGCAGCTTCCAGCTCCTCCAGTGCCTCGAAGCCCTGAGCAATCTGCTGCTTGCTCAGCTTCCCCAATGGCATCTTCTTCACATCTGGCAGGGGTGGAGCGCACGCTGTCAGCCCACATCTCGTGCCAGTGTGCTAGCATTCCCCTGCCCCACTGTGCTGAGCAGCCCCAGCATCACCACAGCCAAAGGGGATGCTCAGAAACCCACCAGCACCTCCGCGCTCATCAGGCCCCCTGGCACCTCCTACCAATATTCATGGTCTGCATGGCGTGGCGGAACATGTCACTGCTGAAGATGAGGGCCACCAGCTCCTGCGTGGTCTCATCCAAGGCACAAGGCAGCATGCAGCACTTAGAGACCTTCCCATCACCCACACCATCCGTCTGTGGGAGCAAACCCCAGCCTTGTGCTATCCCTGGGTCATGCCCGATGCCACTATGATGTCTGTGGTGCTCAGTAGAGAGCGCCAAGCTTGCCTCCTTGTCCATCCCACAGCCCACCCTGCTGATCCTGCTGGGTGTCTCAGGCTCAGCATTGAGGCAATGCCACTCACCCTGAGGGCCACCTCCTGCCTGGCGCCGGGCTGCACCTCTATCAAGGTGTACTTTCCTGGCTGGGCCACAAAGTTTTCCCGTGCTGCCCAGCTGTTCTTGGTCTTTTCCCAAAACTTTTTCTCAAAATCCTTCTTGGCAGCTTCCAGAGAGGTGAACGGCAGGAGCTTGGACTGGCCCACTTCTCCCTGAAGCAGACCCAGTATCAGTCCTCATAGACCTATGGCAGGCAGCAGGTTGGGGTGGCACTGCGGGCAGAGGGGTGCTTCACCCATTCGGGGGTGTGGGGGTCCCCATTAGTCCTCTCCATCCTCCTTCCATCCCCAGATACTCCTCCCCACACTCACCTGTGCATCAGGCCCTGCACTCAGGGGACACGGCGGGGGGCTTCTCCTTGGGGGCTGCCTTCAAGGCAGTGAGCGCGGAGCTCCAGGCATCCTCCTCCTCCTCCTGCCCCCCCTTGGCTTTCTTGCCCCCATCAGCGGGCTGGGATGCAGGGGGTGCTCGGCGCGTGGGGGCCATGGGCCAGCTGCTCCCGTGGGGCTTCAGCTTTTGAGCAGCAGGCCGTGGGAGAGAGAGATGCCGGGTTGCCCTTCCGGGAAGGTCCAGCTAGGCTGTACCTTGGCTGTCCTATGCCTATAGCCAGGAACTGGGCGGGAGGAGGGGAGCATGGGGATCTGCTGTGGGGGGAGCTGAGCAGGGTAGGCTCCAGGGTTTAGAGCAGTGGACGCTGGGGGCAGCAAGAGGAATGAGGAGAGGGGAGCAGTACAGCTGGCAACCATTGCCAAAGTTCCTCCCTGATGCAGCAGCCAGGGACAAGCAGAAATTGCAAGCAGGCACACCCCCAAGCAGCAGTTCCCTCACTGCCATTCAGAAAACAGCCTTCAAAGAGCTAAAATACACATCTGTGCTAAAGCTGCATTTTGCAGGTGGAGTCTGTTTTCCCTGTAGTACCTCTGGAGGCGAGCAGTGACCGCAGGAACACTTTCCAGCTGCTCTCTGTCAGTCTGCAGCCTAACTCCCCCAAGGGATAGGCAGCAAAACAGCATCGCTGTGTGTGCCCAGAGAAACCCAGAGGCCCTCAGTGAGGGTTTGGAGGCTGTTCAGGGGCAGCAGCAAGCGGCAGCCTGACGTGCTCCCTAACAGCTGCAGGCTGCAGTGCTGTCCCTTCTGCTGAGTAGATGGAGGGGACGGTGCTGCTGGGAGAGTGCTGATCTCTGGGCCTCGCAGAGCTGAGCTGCAGGCAGTAGGACGGCTCGTGTTCTCCTCCCAGCACTGCTTCCAGACAGCTCACTCACAACTGCGGGCCGTTCTGCGCTGCCTCACCGCACAGCTCAGCAGCTCAGCAGAGGACGGGCTGAGCTGCGGGCACGAGCTGGGATCAGACAGTTCAGCACGCAGGAAAGAGCAGAGTGCCACGGCAGTGGCACAAACCCGCCCGCGGAGCGGGTGCTGCCACAAGCTACAGGGGGGGGTTTGTTTCTACTTCAATAACCGCGCAGAACCGGAGCGGCGCACGCTGGGCCGAACTACAACTCCCAGCGTGCCCCGCGGCGGGCGGCCACCGCTGCGCATGCGCAGCAGCTGGAAGCTTCCAGGCGGCGCGCGCGGTGCCTGCTGGGTAGAAGACGGCCAGTCAGCTCGGCGCCATTTTGTGGCGAGGGAGCGGGGGCTGCGGGCGCGTGTTCGGCGCCGCGCAGTGGCGGTCAGAGCCGTGCCGGAGACTTGCGGATCGTGGGCAGCGCCATGGGCTCGGATAAGCGGTAAGTGGCGGTGGGGGAGGCGGGGGCCCGGGGGGTGCGGAGGGAGCGCGCTCTGAGCTCGGCCCGCCGTTCCCGCAGCGTGAGCAGGACGGAGCGCAGCGGCCGTTACGGCTCCATCGTGGAGAGGGAGGACCGCGACGAGCGGGAGTCGCGGAGCCGCCGCAGGGACGACTACAAGCGGTCCAGCGAGGAGCGCCGCGGGGACCGCTACGACGACTATCGCGACTACGACAGCCGCGACTACGATAGCCGAGACTACGACAGCCGCGATAGCCGAGACTGCCGCGACTACGACAGCCGCGACTACGACAGCCGCGATAGCCGGGACTGCAGGGATTACGATAGTCGCGACGGCCGCGACTGCAGGGACTACGACAGCCGCGACTGCCGAGATTACGACAGCCGGGACAGCCGCGATTACGATTGCCGGGACTACGACAGCCGCGACAGCAGGGACTACGACAGCCGCGATAGCAGGGACTACGACAGCCGGGACTACGACAGAGACTACGACAGCCGCGACTACGACAGCCCCGAGGTGAGCGCTGCGGGGCCCGCGGGGTGCGGCTGGAGCTCGGGCTGGGGGTGGCAGCGGGGCGCTGACGTGTGTTGGCTTCCAGAGGGAGCGAGAGCGCAGGAACAGCGATAAATCCGAGGACGGGTACCACTCCGATGGCGACTATGGAGAGCACGACTACAGAAACGACATCAACGACGAGAAGGAAAGCAAGACCATCATGTTGCGTGGCCTGCCCATCACGGTTACCGAGAACGATGTGAGTAGGCAGGAGGGGCTTTGCTCTGCGCAGAGCTGCTGCCATTTTGTTGAGCGCTGCATCACGGTGCCCCCCCCCCCCCCCTTCTAGACGTGTTGGGAGCGCTTCCATTTTGAATCCTAAAAGGGTTCCGGCTGCCGCTGTTGAGTAACAGAGGTCATCTCAATGTTAAGCTGTTCGTTTTCAATAGAGCTGTACGTGAATGGTGTGCTTCCCCTAAGATTTTTGTGGGATTTAAAACTCCGTGTAGTTTTTTGCTCTTCCCACTTAGCACGTGGAAGAGGATATAGACGTACGTCCTCTTTATTTGTTGTTACTCTCTAAGGATTGTTAAGGGAGGGAGATAAGGAGCACAAAAGTGATTTAATAACTTTCGGGGCTTTTGTGGAAGCCCGAAGTGAGGGTTGGTGATGCAGCCCAGATGCTGAGCTCCTCAGCTGAGAGCAGCCGTGCGGAACGCGGCTGTGTGGGTGCAGCTGTGGCAGCCATAAAATGGCTGCTCCGGAGCTGAGGGAAGGAGTGAGCGTGGTGCGCCATCATCTGACTGTGCTGGAAAGACCTCGTACCCCCCTGGGAGGGATCTGTTTGCCCTCTCACTGGGCTCTTTCCAAGAGTCTTTTACCAAGACCACAAGCCTGCGGCTGCTGTGTGAGGTGGGATAAGAAACAGCTGTAAAAGCCAAGGTGTATCAGTTTGTTTTCAGGCACGCTCCTGATCCTGAGATCTGTGTGTGGCAGTTGCTAACACAGAGCATCTTTTTGCACCACTTCTGTGGTAGATCTCTGCTTTTTTTTTTTTTTTTCTTTTAATTGAGTACTTTCTGAATACTGGCAATGCTTTTCAATCGCCACGTGTGATCATTTTTTAGGTGCTGAGCAAAGCATCCAAACAATGGAATTCAGTCAGAAGTTACCTGAAACATATTTAGCAATTTTTGTTTCTGATTTTGTACCCGTGCAGCTTTATGGTTCTGCAAATAACTGCAGTATAATCTGTGGGAAAGCTGAATGTAATTTTAGTTACGAACTCATCAGCAGAGTTTAGGTTATGATTTTTGGAATGATTGCTTTCTGCTGAAGTCAGCTTTCCCTTTGTGCTTCTGGTATTAACTGTACATATTTTAACAGCTTTTTCCTCTTCTCTCACAAGAAGGTATTTGCACTGAAGGTGGTAGGTCAGTTCCAGCCAGAAGATGAGCAGGCAGCTTTAAATAACCTTTGAGTCCCGCCTGCTGTTGTATGTAGAGTAGCATGAGTTCCCTGTAGGAGCTGCCAAGCTCCTTTTGTTCTTAGGAGATAGTTTTACATGTTTGTTTTTCCTTTATACTCCTTGGCAATAATTTATCTAGTTTGTCACACCCAACTTAAGCAGCTTGGTTGTGTCTGAAGAGCTGACGTCCCTGTAGCATGATCTTTGACAGTATTCTTAACAAGTCTCACTTATTTTCTGAAAAGCAAAAGGGAAACTGTGTTAGAGGATTGCAGCTATGGCTAGGGGCTTAAGGGAATGTGCATCACTGAGCCTCCCAGTAGTGTTACTGTTCTCTGCTAGGAGTTGGATGTTTCCAGGCATGCAGGGTTGGGGATGCTAGCAGCATTCTTTGTTAAGACATTGGCCAAGCACGGAGTTTGCCAAATTCTGTACAGATGGCCTTGGAATTCAAGGCCATAGTGATTCAGATTCTGGATGATTCTGTGGGCTGTGAGGACAACGGAGGGCTGTGTGGGTTCTGTGGTGCGTGTCAGGCTCCTGTTCACCCCAAGGGCTTTCTTTTTTTTCTGAGATAATATTCAGACTCTTCTGCTCTGTGCACCCGCTGTGCGTACAGTAGGCTGGATTGCTGCTTTGTGTGGCTGAGATGTGTGCTAATATTTGAAAACTTAACTGTCTGATAAAATCTCACGCAGATCCGGGAGCTTATTGAGTCCTTTGAAGGTCCTCAGCCTGCAGACGTGAGGCTGATGAAGAGAAAAACAGGTGAGAGCTCTTATCCAGTTTTTGGTATGGCCTTCCTCTTCCCCAGCCCAAAAGAGTATCCAGAATTATCCCCAAACTGCAAGCACGTGCAATCAATAAAAAAAAAAGTTTGCCATGGCTAAGGAATGTGGCTTTTTGGAAGACTTGTAGATAGCTCGTCCTGTTAAAAAGAAGTCTGTCTCCAGGGGTTTTAGTTAACAGGTGTTGGTAAGTAATACTAGTATAAACCCATTTAATAGTATGTAGTCTGTTGCATGGTTACCTGTAAACGTGGATTCAAATGGAGTGAAATGTAGCCAGTTAAGGGAGCTTGGTTCCTTGCCATGGCAAAATAACGAGCAGATCCCAGCAGTTGACGTCGCATTTGTAAAGCTGCTTTGTCGTGAAGTAATGAAGCAGTTGGAGAGAGATTCACCTGTTTTAAAGGAACTGACTAACACAAGTATCCCGTCTATATCTGAATGCTGTCTCTAGGTGTAAGCCGTGGTTTCGCCTTCGTGGAGTTTTATCACTTTCAAGATGCTACCAGCTGGATGGAAGCCAATCAGGTTGCTTCACTCACCAAGTCTAGATATTCCTGAAAATGGAAAAAGTCTGTACAGTTAAAAAAAAAAAAAAAGAAAAAAATAAAGGTGGAAGGAGTGGTTTGTTCCGTAACAGTGATTTAAATGAATAAAAGCTTTGTATATATTAAAAGTTTTCAGAGTGATAGAAAATAGCAGGTAACATTAGGAAAAGAAAATGGGCTGTTTTGAGCCCTCCCTCATAAAATGTGCCGTTGTCTGATTACATGGTGCCAATTTATTTGGCTCTGGAAAGAGTAGCATATAGTCCATAAAAGACTCTTATTTTACTTCCACCTGCTAGTTCTGTTGCCAGAGAAGGCATCAGGTACTGTGAGATTTTCATTACCTTGGTATTAATCCTGAGTAAAATTTAGAAAAAGATGTGCCAGGTCATTAAAAAGATGTGTTCCCTGAGTTGAGGGAAGACACCTGGCTCCTCTGGACAGAGAAACGTGTTCATTCCAAATAAATCTGATGGGAACTGAGGGCTCTTCAAAGTTGTGCTGTGTATTTTGGCTTTTCTGGACTATGACTTGACAAGGAGCCAAAATGCAGAAAGTGCTCTAGTTTCTTTCCCAGTGCTGCTTTCTTCTTGCACTGTAAGCACGCTCTGGATTTGCTAATTTTTGAATCTCCACAGTCTGTTTTAACAACAGATCTTAAATACTCTCTTGGAGCCAGCAAAGTGTGTTGAGCCGCTTGTTCTTTTTACAGTTAAATATATGCTGTGAGGGTCTGTGGGCAGCATGAGGAACGTGTTCTGCTGCGTCAGTTTATGTGTCCAGGCAGTGCAGCAGCCCTGCAAGCAGCTCCAGCAGATGGAGGTAGCTGTGTGCTTTGTGCTGGAGTAGAGCTCCACGTGGCTCGTGCTGGGAGTCATTTCCCAAGGCACAGTTTGGGTCCTGTTCCACGGTGCCCTGCTCTGTAGGGTGGGCAGGTGCAGCGGAAGGACTCGTGTTAGGACATGAATGCTGAGTGCAATTTTAGAGATAGTTTTAATATATACAAAGCTGTATTGCTGCATAATTTATTGCAACAAATACTCAAATTCACTCCGGTAACCCAGCCACCCTAGTAGTAGGGAAAACATAGTCTCCCCAGCAGCCCGGTC